CAAAGCGAAGTAGACATTGTTTAACACTTAAAAACTTTCCGAAGAACATTCAGGGAGTGGTATAACCATGAGTTTACGAAACTGCTGTGATAAAAATAGTATCGTTTATTTTTAGAGTTTCGTAACCAAATATATAACTACTATAATCTATATATTAATACGTGAAGCAAAAACTTTGTATCCCTTTTTACGAAAATTGCGCGGACGGAGGAGTATGAAATTTCCCACATTTATAGAGAATATAGAGAAGAAGTGCAGAATGCAAATATTTTTGATAAATTATGCATTAAAAATACATTAAATCAATCAAAAAACATTACACACACTACCATGTATTTGACGCACACACGCATGCGTTCTATTTATTGTCAAACTTTTGTTCTTGACGTCTGTTGTCAAATTGAGAATAGATTAAATATTGTTTGTCTTTGTTAATATTCCTTATAGTGTCGTCATGGTGAAATTTGTGATTATAGAAGTATAAAATACAATCATAATAGTGTACAAACTTACAATTCCAATTAATTATAGTCGAATTTCGACTACTGCGGGACCTTTAGTAATTTATAATTACGTTATATCTGTTCGCTTGACCGCAAAAAGTAAAGTCCACGAGCTACAGTGACGTAAAGATATTTTGAACAAAAATAATACATAGTCAATAGGTCGACAGCAAAAATATGTGTAGTACATCATTATCAGTGGTCGGAGCAGGTAGATTGATTTTATATACTTGCCTCAAGATATGATAATATGGACAAGCCATTTTATCCATAATGATTATTTTTTTAAATTGAAAAAATATATTTTTAATCCTCATCGGATACAATTTCTATATTTATGAGATAAAGTAACAAAAAGCCCTGTCTAAGTTTTGTCTCATACTGACAAGCGTCATTTCTAATTCAACAGAAAGGGACAAAATACGGTGTAACTATTCCAAGGTGTTTTCGTATAAAATAAAATACTGATTTCTTTCACCATTACCTAGCACCGGTAGCGTAGATTAATATTATTAATACGTTTTTCACCTTAAACACAGATTTATGCTAATTTCCAAATTTGGGAATAAATATCACAATAAATATGAAGTATTTTTTATTTTTTATTGCTAGATGAGTGGACGAGCTCACAGCCCACCTGGTGTTAAGTGGTTACTGGAGCCCATAGACATTTACGACGTAAATGCGCCACCCACCTTGAGATATAAGTTCTAAGGTCTCAAGTATAGTTACAACGGCTGCCCCACCCTTCAAACCGAAACGCATTACTGCTTCACGGCAGAAATAGGCANCCTGGTGTTAAGTGGTTACTGGAGCCCATAGACATTTACGACGTAAATGCGCCACCCACCTTGAGATATAAGTTCTAAGGTCTCAAGTATAGTTACAACGGCTGCCCCACCCTTCAAACCGAAACGCATTACTGCTTCACGGCAGAAATAGGCAGGGTGGTGGTACCCACCCGCGCGGACTCACAAGAGGTCCTACCACCAGTAAAAAAGTTCCGGTATTTTGGAGGCATTTCCATATTATCCTCTACGTTTGACGTCAACGACCTTAAATCAATCTACCTACTACGACCTCTAATCATTATACATATGTGTAGTCGTAGCCACCTAAAGGAAAAGACGCACGGCGAACTCGCGTTTCAATCGAGACCTGATTATGTCAAATAGCTAATTAATAATGTAACTAATCTATACATCTATAAGTATATATTAATACGTGAAGCAAAAACTTTGTACCCCTTTTTACGAAAATTGCGCGAACAGAGGAGTATGAAATTTCCTACACTTATAGAGAATATAGAGAAGAAGTGCAGAATGCTAATATTTTTGATAAATTATGCATTAAAAATACATTAAATCAATAAAAAAAAAACATTACACACACTACCATGTATTTGACGCACACACGCATGCATACTATTTATCTATTTTCAAACTTTTGTTCTTGACGTCTGTAGTCAAATTGAGAATAGATTAAATATTGTCTTTATTAATATTTTTCTATAGTGTATTCTTGGCGAAATTTGTGATTATAGAAGTATAATAAATAGTCTTTGAAAATAGAATCATAATAGTGTACAAACTTACAATTTCAATTAATTAAAGTCGAATTTCGACCACTGCGGGACCACTAGTATAAATAAAATTGGAGTGTCTGTTTGTAATATTGAACAGCTTTTTACTACATGCATATGAATATATATACGGTACATACACCAAAATAACGTTTTTTACAATTTTTGGCTGTCTTTACAATTTGTTCCGACTAATCTCTGGAACGGATGGACCGATTTTGACGAGACTTTCAGTGGTAGCTGATGAAATAAGGAGTAACTTAGGCAACTTTTTTAGACTAGCTTTGCCCCACGGTGTTGCCCGCGGTACGACAATAACCGCGAGTAGCATCGCGGGACTCAGCTATCAGTAATAAAATTTAATGTTTCCGAAGCGAAGCGAGGGCGGGTCGCTAGTCAATTATAAAATTTAATGTTTCCGAAGCGAAGCGAGTGCGGGTCGCTAATCAATAATAAAATATAATGCTTCCGAAGCGAAGCGAGGGCGGGTCGCTAGTGTATAACAAACTAGAGCATGAGACGTTGAATGAAATACATTTCTAGAATACTTTCATTATTACACTTCCAATATGCTACTGATATTCATAACGACAGTTAATCTACAAAATATAGTCTAAAGGCCAAGATCAAGAAAAATGTCAAATATTCATAAGATCGATCATCCGTTAAAAGTAGATCCGTTCTTATGCCTCTGAGATTTACGCTGCGGTGTCCAAATATGAGTCCTAACACCAGACAGTAAAGTAGTTTTTGTCTGTAGCAATAAAAAATCCTGTTAGGTATATTGCGTAGGTAGGTGCGCAGTAGAATATATTGGCTCGCTTGGAACATTCAAAAGTGATTGATTACCTTTCTCTTTAAACATATTTGACAACCCTAATCTTGTCTTACATAACATTTACGGAGGGTAGGTGAAAAAAATCTTAAGTTTATGTTATTATTACTGATGGTAAGACATCTGAGTCCGCACGGGTAGGTACCACAACCCTGCCTATTTCTGCCGTGCAGCAGTTATGGTTTGAAGGATGGGGCAGCCGTTGCAACTATACTGTGACCTTAGAACTCATATCTCAAGGTGGGTGGCGGCATTTATGTGGTGGATGTCTATGGTAGTCAGTTAATATCATGTGGGCCGTGAGCTCGTCCACCAATCTACGCAATAAAATCAAAAAGATGTGTGGTGTCGTGGGACACCGGATAGGAACGAAGTTCCTTATTATAAAAATATTAATTTTAAGTTCTATTCGAGGTATAAAAAAAATTAAACTGGAGGTTTCGCAACAACCCACGGTCATTCAGTAACGTGCGAACTTATTGTGGTACACTTCATTCACGGTCGTTTGTATAGGAGTTAGTGTATTGCGCAAACGAACGCTCTGAGATCGTGGTCGCTGAATGATAAAAAAAATATGTTATTTTTTGTACGTTATTACAAAGTTAAGTCGTACACTGTGTGCATTACTAATAAAAATCTTACGTTACGGACGTTTTTTCCCGGTTAGGGTACCCCTCAGCATCGTCCCTTATGGAACTCCGTTCAAAAAAAATTAACATGTACATGAACTTGTAGTTAGGTAAAACAAAAGATGGCTGACCAATGAGGAGGCAGCGAGAGTTTTGACACAGAAACCGACCGGAAGTCATATCCATTGGCGTCATACCGCGTCTGACATATTTGCATTCGCAATGCGTTTTACTACGTGACGTGTGCCGACATGACGTTAACATCTGTTTTTGGACCACCAACGTACAGAGCATTTTGTTTCTCAAACAAGGAGCTTGTCGTTTAGATTCTAGGTGAAACTGCATTTTCTTTATCAATTTTATTAGAGTAACTAGTATTTCGATGTGTTAATATATGTGTGTGTTTGAATTCGATTCCCACATCGGGCAAACATTCTTGTGATGAGAACGAAGCTCTTTGTTACATCCTTACGGATCGATTAGTTTTTTTTATTGCTTTAATGGGTGGACGATCTCTGAGTTCACCTGGTGTTAAGTGGTTGCTGGAGCTCATAGGCATCTACAATAAATGCGCCACCCACCTTGAGATATAAGTTCTATGGTCTCAGTAGAGTTACAACGGTTGCCCCACCTTTCAAAACGAAACACATTAATGCTTCACGGCAGAAATAGGTGGGGTGGTGGTACCTACCCGTGCGGAGGTCCTACCACCAATAACGCTTGCATTAGACGCCTTCAGCTCTAACATTTGGAGCAGGCTTAGGGATCTCGGTAACCGTACTCGTTGAACTCGGCAAAGAGTTCGACGTACAACCTAATCCATACATCAGCCCGCTAAGTTTCTCGCCGGATCACCTCAGCGGGTCGCGATTCCGATCCGGTAGTAGAGTCATTCGCGAAGCAGCTGCCCTTGAGTTGTTAGGTCACCTTCGGAAGCACTCGGGATGCTGTTAGCTAATCCCACCCCTCCTGGCTTAGTTCGCCCACTTGTCCTGGTGAAAATGATCGAACATTCGATCGTAATGTCTGACGCTTCAAGATTTTAATCAATTTTATGTATTACGTATTCTTTTGTATGTTTTTTTTAATAAAAATATTGACAAAACAGTTGCCACTCCCAAAACTATTTTCGTGGTACCATTGTCGCTCGTTAATTGCTACTAACCAAGAAAAGATAATCGATTAACAATCAGACGAGAAAATTGTACTTAACTATTTTGTCTCTACCTATCTACATAGATATGTTTTATGTAAAATCCAAATAAGACAGAAACGACGATGATCTATGATGGATCACTCTATGAAGGTTATGTGTACTTTATGGATTAGGAATTGTTAGACATATGACTGAAGTCCATACTAACGCAAGATCACAACAGCTGTAGTACTCTGTAAGACGGTAGTATTGATCTAAAATACGCTCTCCAACCACAATAGCTTTCAAAACTTACCTGATATGTTAATCCTCTCTTCATCATAGTAGTCGAGGTGATGAGCCAGTTCGTCCTCGTCTTCCGGCAGTAGGGGTTCATCTGAAGCGTCGGGCCGGCGTCGGGTCGCGTTGGGAGCGCCGCTCACTACCACCAACCAGACCACCGCCAGCGGGACCAGTGCATCCATGGCGTCATCACCGCACGAGCAACGAGGATGCTCTGAAACAAACCAAAAACTTGTATTTATGTATGAATGGATTTAAAAAAAAAGTGTTCGCCGTTCCATAATCTGTGGTACTGGTGGTAGGACCTCTAGTGAGTCCGCGCGGGTAGGTACCACCACCCTGCCTATTTCTGCCGTAAAGCAGTAATTCGTTTCGGTTTGAAGGGTGGGGCAGCCGTCGTAACTACACTTGTGACCTTAGAATTTGTATCTCAAGGTGGGTGGCGCATTTACGTCGTAGATGTCTATGGGCTCCAGTAACCACTCCACACCAGGTGGGCTGTGAGCAGGTCCACTCATCTAAGCATTAAAAAAAATTATAGTAATAAGCTATGTACTTATTTGTATTTGTTACCGTCCGCGCCAAACTCGTCGCTTGCGACGAAGGGCTCGACGGGTAAATTAACCCATAGGCACAGCCCACTGAGTTTCTCTTCCGGATCCTCTAAGTGGGTTGCGTTTTCGATTCGGTGGTAGATTCTGCGAAGCACTGCTCTTGTTAGGGCCAGTGTTAGCAACACTTTCGGTTTCAGCCCTGTGAGCTCACCTACAGGCTAACTAAAGCTGAAATAGCCTCTCAAGGCTATCAGCATAGGTAGGGAAAAAAATTGGCAATAAGGCACACAGAAACATAAATAACTAGTTAACGTTTCGTGTAATTATTATTGGTAACTAACTATATATTATAGCTGTGTGTAAGCGCGTTGTTTTTCTGTTGAAATTTAATAATTTAGTTTGTTTCTTCCTTAATCGCGGAAGTAATTTGAGAATCCAAATGTCTCAAGAGGTGGAGGATGTCACGTTGTACTGTCAAAATTATCAGATAGCCGTTAAAAGGGTGGCGATCCGGTTAACACTCACTCCAGGGCTGTAAGACCAAAGAAGACTGATGATGAAGCAAGATATCCGGCGAAACCTGAACCGCACGAAAGATATCTTGAAGATAAACTTGCGTTTATACATGTTTACCGAATTCCAAAAATCTGCTCGGCGGAAGATCTTCGCCTATTCGGTATTTCTAGAGCTGATGAAAGATTTTTGATACCGCAACAGGTTTATGGTACTGAAGCAAATCGCATTGCTTCACGGCTGTCTTGAACTGCTGAAAACCACTCCGGCGAGATATATGCTCATAAACCTGAGACGTAAATGTATCTATGTCACGAAAGACTTCTCATCGCAGAGGTTTTATTTTTATTGCTTAGATGGGTGGAAGCTCACAGCCCACCTGGTGTGAGGTGGTTACGGGAGGCCATAGACATCAACGACTTAAATGTGCCACCCACCTTGAGATATAAGTTCTAAGGCCTCAAGTATCATTACAACGGCTGCCCCACCCTTCAAACCGAAATGCATTACTGCTTCAAGGCGGAAATAGGCAGGGTACCTACCCGCGCGGACTCACAATAGGTCCTACCACCAGTCGAAAGTGCCAGAAGTGCGGCAACAATAAACTTCTCTCTTCATGATCAGCTAATGAAATACGGCCGCGTGACCCGTGCTGGCGTTAGATCTTGAGAATTTTAAGCCAACTCAACAGGTTTGCGTGACGGTATTTTAATTATGTAGCCATAATGAACGCATTATAAATTCGTTTTGACAGTGCTCGATAAAACTTCATTAACTTTAGTTACATATTCTTAATGTGAATTCCTTGATTTATTTGAGCCTCATATATTATAATTTTAATTAAGACTAGAGTATGTTCTCTATTGGGTCACATTTTAGAACCAGAAGTCTAGATCCCAAAAAATCTCGATCTAGGTGGCTATAAATCGGACTATGAGACGAGAGGTGTGAGTTTTGTCGCGCCAAAAAAATCCTGCAATGAGATTTATCGGAAGATAATTCCGACTTATTTTTCCGTTAAGCCGCAGACAATAGGACTTGGAAACCATAGGCCCTACTGAGTTCCTGGCCGGATCTTCTGAGTGGGTCGCGATTCCGATCTAGTGTTTAGGATCAGTGTTAGCAATACTCTCAGGTTGAGCCTGAGCCTATATAAATAGCCCCTTAGATTAGAAATAGCCTCTTAATCCACCAACAAACAAAAGCTAAATTTTTCTTGGAGAAATATATTAGTCAATTAAAATTATGAGATATTCGGTGCGATAACTAATTTAATTGTTATTATTTGTCACGCTATTTGTTCAGAAAGTTGATAACGTATCACGATTCCGGCAATATGTTTTCCAGATTTTCCTATAAGTTAAGGAAGGCTTTAATTTTAGTGCTGTTTATTGATTTTGTTTTCTTTTAGTCACGAATTTTGGATGTCCCAAAATGGTGGTTAAATAAACCTTTTTGTTATTATAGAAGATCGCTGCAAAAAGATTTTGTGCCTCAAAAACGTATGTGTAGTTTCCATATTAATATTACAAAATTTAACTAATAAGCAAAACGACTTCCACTTCCACAAACGTACATAAAAAGTCGGATTGAGAACCTCTTCCTTTTTTGAAATCGGTTAAATGTCTCTAATGTCATTATCCTGGAAGGAAACCGAGCTAATAGCGGAGCGACTGCATTTCCTCCTAACACTTCGCGTACTATAAAGTTCCTAGTATAAATAAAGTTCCAATAAATCTGTGTTTATTCGTTGCGTTGTTGAAATCAGGGCCTCTGCTTCTTTGACCAAGAGTTAGCGGCGCATTTAGCGGCTGCCGCGATCTAAAGCTTATAAACGCTAGAAATAAATATCATTTTTCCTTATTTGAAGTCTAAGTTACTAAATAAAGGTGAACTATATGTTCAACGCATGACGAATCCTTTATTTCTTAATATTAGAATCATTTAACGGCCGTCTGGTGTAGTGGTAAGTGACATGGTCACTACACAGGGGGGTCGCGGGTTCGAATCCCGCCAAGGGAAGATATTTGTATGATAAATATAAATGTCTTTTCCAGGGTTATGGATGTATATTAAATATATGTATGTGTATAATAAAAATCTTACATTTATTTCCGTTATCTGGTACCTGTAACACAAGTTCTTTACGAACTTAGCACGGGACCAGTTAACGTGGCGTGATTGTTAGTNAGGTAAAGTGAAATAATTGTATTATTTGTATTCATGTCTATGATAATAAAATCCTTTTGTTTAAACTTTATCTAATTTAACTTTATTTAACCAATTTCTAGAAAGTTGCATGTAGATCATTTTTCGAAAAATAAGGCCATAAACAAGTTTCACTTCTTACGTGTGTACACTAGTACACGCACACATTTTTTATTCACTCTGTGTATGTAAAATTTTTCCTCTAAATTTCTTACATCACTAATGCCATCGTCACTTTTAAAAGCGATTAAATTTTCAGTCAATTATTAGGAAAATAACTACAATGAATCTATCTATATATATAAAAATGAATTGCTGTTCGTTAGTCTCGCTAAAACTCGAGAACGGCTGGACCGATTTGGCTAATTTTGGCTTGGAATTATTTGTGGAAGTCCAGAGAAGGTTTAAAAGGTAAATAAATATAAAAATGCTCGGAATTAAATAAAAACAACAATTTTGTTTTTCCTTTGATGTGTCCCCCGCCGGACGGCTTGCTTTTGTTTGCTTTAAGTTTATTTTATACAAAAGTTTAGGTCTTTTATTTATCGATTGACGCACTACGAAGTCTGCCGGGTCAGCTAGTATTTAATAAATATTCAGAATCGTTTCTTAAATTAGTTTTTGTTTTAAAAAAAATATCCATTTTTTATCATCTTCTGTTGTTGGTTTCCAATAAGAACATAATAAGATTGTTTTGCAGCTGGAGTTGAATTATGGTGGGGTGGAATTAGACGCTCACCCGATCCGAGAAACTCTTCCCGTTTTAACTCGTTAAAAAACTCTCCATGCAGTGGTTATGCGGCACTGCACTGCGGACACGCCTTGCGAAATATCAGATTTTCGACTTAAACGCCTAGATTTTTAAGTGCTGTTTACGATAATTTCAAAGGCGGATTAATTGTGATCGATGACTTTCGCCAAATATACAATACAGTTAGGCGTAGAATTTTATGAGCGTCCATTTGCGTATGAGAAACTTATCAGTTATGCACGTGACTAGATTTTTTGATCAGATGTACTAAAAATGCGTAAATGATTGCGATGATCGCGGGGCGTGTTGTTTATTTGCTAAGGGGACAATCATGCCTACCACTTCTTTTTATTTATTTGCCATGATAGGCAGACGAGCATACGGCCCACCTGATGTTGAGTGGTCACCGTTGCCCATGCACTTCAGCAGAGCCAAGCCGCTGCCTACAACATTTCCTTCCCTTCTATTCCCTTCTTACATGAAGGGTACAGTAATTGTTAACGATATGATCTATTCTCGAGAATAGACCGAATTTAAACCTTTCTCATACGTTTAAGAATATTTGTCCAAAGTCCCGACTGGATGCACAAACCAAATGATGGCATTAGTCGACGAATTGGCCTAAATGACCTGAGTCTTTTCGTAATCAAAAGCAAGATGGTGTTAATATTTTAATACTTTATATGAAGCAAGCATTAAAAATAACTTAACGAGTTCGACTAGGCGAAGGCGTTTTTGTGTAACCGTATTATCCGAGTCATCGCCTATTCATGCCCGTATATGGCTTCGCCCGACAAGCGAGGGTGTGAATAGAACACTTTATATCTAAAATGGCACTCGACGATTAATAATATATCAGCGGTACCGCGCGTCGTGCTGTGGAATGCGAAATGTATATGAAGGCAGTAATAAAAATATTTAGGTTGGCAACACCAATGAAATTTCTTTTGAAGCCCGTCAACCGGATGACTGGTGCCTTTTGCCATCGACGACAGAGCCCTGCCGTTGTTATTTTAAGTGGGATTGTTCTAAAAGATTGTTACGTCGTAACAAAAATCTAAAATATAAAATTAATACAAAATATAATTACACACAAACAAACAAACCAACTAGTTATTACAATAAATGAAAACCGCGCGCTTTAACTAGTGATAGCTTCTTAATGACCATATATTATATTACATTTTGTATTAATTTTATATTTTAGAATTTTGTTACGACGTAACAAGATCATATCGCCAAATATACCTAATAACTCAAAAAAAGTATTTAACCCTATTACTGCTGTGTAGGTCACCCTACGTGGCGCACTGAAGTAATTATGTCGATTTCTATTACTAAGGCGCCGGTATATCTAGTGGACTCTGGGAAACACGAATCCGAAGAAACTAATACATACAATAACGAATAAAAGAAGGCAGAGTGAGGCAATCCAGGTGCCTTGGTGACAGAAGACGATATAATTATTGCCCTCATGGCAGGTAATAGGGTTAAAACAAGTTAATATATATAATGATATTGGGTACTTCAATAAACAATAAAAGTCTTAATTGCATTTTCTGTTATATGTATTATATAATAAGAAACCAACACTTAAAGCCTTTTTAATCTAATAAAATTAATATTTTAAACAAACTGAATTTTCTTTTTATTCAATGACAGACTTCACTAAATGACATTCAAGAAAAATCCTTTTTAGAAAACTAAAGAGTTTTAGACAATAAAGGTTTTTCTTTACACATAAATGTAGTTGACACTACTTTTACGGACTATTCCGTGCCACAATAACTAAGTATGGAGTATTTAAAATGTTCGGAAATAATCTAATGAAAATTAAAAAAAAACTCTAGATTAAACAGTGAGAGCAGTTCTAGATATGTCGCGACACGCGAATGTCGAGGAAAATACTGAGTTAATTGATTTTATAGTGTTAAGAGGATTTATTTCAGTTTTGTCAAGAATATATGAGTAGATAGTCTGTGTAGATATGCTTAAAAGATTGTGTGCGAATCGTGGGGGGTGTAATAATAATGCAGTTATAAATTTACGTAACTAAGGGAAGGAAAAGCGGGTTGCTGGTGACCTGGAGGAGGTGGAATGGAGGTCAGTTTCACCAGTTCTGGTATTCATAGTATTAGGGCTTACAGCGGCAGCATTAGACACATAATCCTAATATAGTATACCTTTTTTATGTTTGAGGGATTACTGGTGGCCCGGAGGCCTTTCTAGTTTTACCAGGGTAGGTGGGCGAGCAAAGGCTCAGCCAAGAGGGGTGGGATTTGCTAACAGCTGCCCGAGGGCCTGCGAAGGAGATCTAACAACTCAAGAGGAACTGCTTCGCGAATGAATCCACTACCGGTTCGGTATAGTATACCCTGGTGGTCTGAACTAAGCACACATCTTTCATGCACTATATTAAGTAGGAGTAATACATATAAAGCTTAAAGTTGACTAGAGACGCAGCTATAAACAAAACTAATTACAATTAAAACATGTAATTCACTGTAAAGCATTTTCGTTTTGTTTATTACTTGATTTTGTTTTATTATTTACACCGCCTAAATATCTAAGATTAATAGTGGTTTGCTCCAAAAGTTTTTCATATACAACTGCAATTGGGCCTTTTGATGAAATATATCGTTGTATATTTAAAAAAAAAAAACAAGAAAAGATGAGCTATTCTTTGCCTATTTTCAAGGGATACGTACTTGCCTGATTAATTTAAGAGGCATACGTAGCTACCTCGCAAGATACAGGCCTGTATAGTGGTGACTGATTAATTTAATATGTGTTGCGTAACACAGGAGAACGGAATGGCTAATGTAGTACGGTAGAATTACGAGTAAAATAGATAAGTTTCGTTCTTGCTTCTGGATCGAGTAACTTATAGTCCATGACCGCAAGTATTATATATTACTGGTGGTAGGACCTCTTGTGAGTCCGCGCGGGTAGGTACCACCAGCCTACCTATTTCTGCCGTGAAGCAGTAATGCGTTTCGGTTTGAAGGATGGGGCAGCCGTTGTAACTATACTGAGACCTTAGAACTTATATTTCAAGGTGGGTGGCGCATTTACGTTGTAGATGTCTATGGGCTCCAATAACCATTTAACACCAGGTGGGCTGTGAGCTCGTCCACCCATCTAAGCAATAAAAAAATAAAAATAAAACTATTATATACCACGTGTCCTACTAAATAAAATAAAAATACTAGTTCGACTAGAAAGGATTGAAGTTCCAATTAAATTGGTTGATCCGATCAGCGACTTGTGGGCATTGTGGTATTTATTTACATAATTTGTAATAAAAATTGTAAAGCAAACAAGAGTTCGTTCAATAAATATGTAAATATTCAGGTCAGCGATGCAGGAGCTCTGGGAAAATCGTGAGAGATTCGCCTAAAGGCGAGACCAGCGGCTCTCAAACCTTAGAAATTCGCGAGACCTTTACATAATTACATAAATTTGTTAATTGAGTGTAGTTATGGGTAAATTTACTAAATATTTCATTATTAATCAGTTAACATCTAGTAAGCGGTTGTAGCTGTGTTTGTGTTGTGTTGTACTCTATATGTAAGTACTCTAGAGATGCATTTATTGAAATATCGATTAGTCAATCTCGCGACGAAGTGGTTGAGAGCCGCTGGCTTGAGGCATGAGCTGAATATATAACAGTCGCCGAGTTTCCCTACTTTTTTTATATTATTGAGTTTGATTTTTAATACACGATGTTATTCCTTCACCGTGGAAGTTAATCGTGAACAATTGTTAAATACATATTTCTTCTTCTTCTTTTTCTCCACCTTATCCCACTAGGTGGGGTCGGCACAGATAGTTTTTCTCTTCCATTCTCTTCTATAAGCGGTCAGCTCAACACTCACTCCTCTCTCTCTCCTTTCGTCATTCACACACTCCATCCATGTCTTCTTCGGTCGACCATTTCCCCCTCTACTTTGCACTACCATTTCCATACACCTAGTCACATGCATCTTCTCTCTACGCATCACATGTCCATACCACGCTAACCGTCCGCTCTTTAATTTGTTAATTACCAGGGCTACCTGCGCACTTCCTCTGATAAGATTTTTACGTATTTCATTAGAAAAATTGGTACCCGCGTGCGGGATTCGAACACCGTTGCATAGCTACATACGAATGCACCGGACGTCTTATCCTTTAGGCCACGACGACTTCAATTACTACTGCTACTACTGCTGTTAGGTAGAGAACAATGTTCTATGTTAATGTACTTGTTTAATACCATGGATGATCAGAGGAGCTCACGGTCTGATAGCAGCTACTAGAGCCCATTGGCATTACAAAATGAAAACCACTGTTCTGATATAAGATTAAGGTCTGAATTTGATTGGGACAAAATATTTCCAATCCGTTATTGCTTCCCGTCTAAATTAGACAGGACGTTTGGATTTATACGGTGCAATATGTTCTTTTGTCAAAACAAGACGAAGGAAAAAAGTTAGTATCGTCAAAACATTTATTTGGTTGTATCAAAATTAGAATTGCAAAAATGTTTCACAATAACAAAACTAACTTGATTAGAAATGATTCATTTGAATAATACGCATTATAATTTACTTGTAAAATTAAAATCAATGAAAGAAATGTAAAATTAGCATTAAAAAATACGTATATTGTGAAAGAACAATCTAAATTCGTTGTCTCACTCATCAAGCTCCGGTTATATGGATTTTTTCACCCTATTATTTTCGAAAAATTGAATACGTAATGTTTTCCATGATAGTTGAGAATGTCAAGTAGCTACATACTATAGAAAGTCTATATATTATATTAATGACAAAAACCCAGTGAAAAACGCTAAAAAATGACGCAGAATTCATTACATGAATATTGAAAGCGATCATGTTACGTATTTAAATATTTAGCTCATTGAGTGATTAGAAAAATAATGTTTATTATTAAAGATTTTAACAGGATAAACTCAGGTTTCTTCAGTATTCGTGACTCGTAGACGTAGGTTTAATCTTGCGTTTTCTATTGTCGTAATATTAATTCTACCACTGCGGACTGACAGTTGGCCAGAACCTAATATTGTGACGATACAACTAAAATTGTAACTATACTTGAGACCTTAGAACTTATATCTCAAGGTGGGTGGCGCATTTGCTTGATGTCTAGCGGTTCCAGTAGCCACTTAACACCAGGTGGGCTGGAGCTCGTCCACCCATCTTAGACATAAAAATAAATAAATAAAAAAACAAAAAAACACGCAAGCTTAAATCAGTATACATTTGTTAACGGTATCTTCATATCCCATTTGTTAGATTGGCAAACTAATGCGTGAAGACGGTGTGTTTGATTGAAGTTTTTATTTGGGGAGCGCTTTGGCTCCGCTGGTTTATTGATTGTTTGAGTTCAACACCTAACTTGTTATTTAAATACGTTAAGATTTTATAAATGTTCACAAACAGCTTCTACTTCTGTTCTGTTTGACGCGGTACATACGTGCAAATGCATTATACAGAAACGATTTTTGATGATAACATGTTCCCAGTCATAGCTACAAAATAGGAAAGCTATCATTTGATTAGCTAATTCCTGCGATAGTCAGGTTTGACGTCAGACGGGTGACTCTCGTAAAATTTTACGTCAGAAAAGGTGTATCCATGTTCGTCTGTGTCTGGATGCTACTGGTTACCGAATTACCCTGGAAATAGTTTTAGTAAAGCAATGTTTTAACTCACCTATTGCCGCCGAAATTACGCAAGCTCCGCATCCACGCACTGTCGGAAACTATCATCCGAGTATATGAAGTTTGGAAAAAAAAAAACTGTTCCTCCTTCAAAAATACATTCCTAATATTATATTATGGTAAATTTAAACACGTATTTATAAAAAATATCGTTTATGACACAACACTTAAATATCCGTTCAACGGATCGATTGATTTACAAAACAGAGCTTACAAACAGTTTTTGTTTTATGTAACGCTTATCGGTTTTTCTTTTAGAATTAATATTTCAGTTCACATTTCCATAGTGTAGTATAGAAGTGGTATTAAACGTGCTTTTGGTGCAAGGGACGGGGCGGCGGTGGCGGCGGTGGTATCGTTATAGAGGAGCGCGCCGGCGCGGACATTGCACCCCTGATAACGGGGCCGAACTCAGAAAACTAATTTAATTATTACTGGTGGTAGGACCTCTTGCGAGTCCGCGCGGGTGGGTACCACCGTCCTGCCTATTTCTGCCGTGAAGCAGTAATGCATTTCGGTTTAAAGGGTGGGGCAGCCGTTGTAACTATACTTGAGACCTTAGAACTTATATATAAAGGTGGGTGGCGTTGATTTACGATGTGGATGTCTATGGGCTTGAATAACCACTTAACACCAGGTGGGCCGTGCTCATCCACCCATCTAAGCAACAAAAATAAAAAAAGTTAGAGAGTCTAAATTAGTAAATACCTCGGAGAGATTGAAGATTTTGTTTTTTTTCCGTTTTTCCTACCTATTCGAGTAACCTCAAGGGGTTATACTAGATTCGCCGAAGGAATAAGTGAGCTCACGGGGCTCTAATACTAGCCTTAGCCTTAGCTCTAAAACTAGCCACTGACGTTGCTAACACTAGCCTTAGCAAGAACAGTGCTTCACCGAATCTATTGCCGGATCAGAAACGCGACTCACTGAGAAGATCCGGCGAGAAACTCAGTGGGCTGTGTCTTTGAGTTAATTTGCTCGCTGAACCTTTCGTCGCCGCAAGCGACGGGTTCCACGAGAACGTTGGCCGGTGCTTGAGGTACCTAAAAGCACCGTTAGTGAATCGAGAGGATCCGAAATGACATGTTTTCCGTAACTGTTTGCAGGTAGCTTTAGGGACTATTCGAATTACGCCCGGACGGGTCGATGAGCTCACGGGCTCAACCTGAGAGAATTTGTTAACAATAGCTGTAGTAAGAGCAGTGTTTCGCAGGATTTACCATCGAATCGGAATCGTGTCTTACTGCTCAGTGGACTAGATTTTAAAATACGTGTTTTATTTTTTATTTTTTGAAGGATTTTATGACCTGGTTACTGAGACCTTTAAGTCATGTCTTATTTTAATTTATATTCATTTTTTTATGAAAAATTATATTATGGAGTGAAATAAAATGAAGATGATTAATTGGAGAAATTAATCAGCTGGGATGAAATTAAATGAAATGAAATGAGATGATATGGGATGAAATATAATCTCAGTAAAATGGTGGTCATTTATTAAGGTTTTTTCAGTGGACTTTTCGAAGCATCCCGAGAAGTTACATCCAGCGGCTTTCTTTCATTTTCCCACTTTTATGCACTTTCACAGATATTAAACAGTTAATAAACCACCATTATTACACATTTAAACCTGAAGAAACACAAAATAGACAAAATAAAACAAATCACACAACTTCACTCCTCGTGTTCCCGCCAAAAAGTCACGTGCATTAATGTATGAATTTTAAAATTACCCACACGATTTCTAAAGAACAGTGGCTGGTAAAAAAGGTGTTTGTTTACTATAAACATATTTTTTACATAAAAAGAAAGTGGAACGTCTCAAGCAACCACTTTTTTAAAATAAATTTAGAAAATAACATATTTCTAACTATCTCATAAGATTCATATTTAAATATTATATTAGTCGTTCGTTTTTGGAATTGATATACTGAAATAAAAAATCCAAATTTAAAATGACTTTTTTTGGCGGCATACTGGAAAATGATTGAAAGAAATCAAGGTCGCATCGTGTATGGTTTGCCTTGACAGATGTACTTCATTCGATTTTATGTTTCTCATAGTAAGATTTGGATGTAAAGTAAGCTTATCAAGTTCAAAGAGCAAAAATTTATATCCTTAGGATCTGACGTGAAGCAGTGTATGGAAGATAAGCAAAGTTGAGGTTTTATTACTTGTATTGGTCTGGTTAACTTTGTAAAGCACACTGAACGAGTATAATCACAAGAAGTATTTGTATACAAATAACCGTCATCCGTAGTCTACACATTAGCCATTGTATAGCCATCATACTAAGACTATACATAAATAATAAAAATCTTACGTTACGGACGTTTTTTCCCGGTTAGGGTGGGTACCCCCCGTATCGTCCCATAAGGAACTTCGTTCCAAAATTAATTGACAATAATATTGGCATATAACCGTATTGTTCTGGACTGGAGACCACGTACCGGTAAGCGCAGCGTTGTGCGTCCCCCTGCCCGGTGGACCGACGATTTGCGGCGACATGCTGGAGAAGATTGGATGCGGAAGACGGACGACCATTCATTGTGGCGAGCTTTGGGAAAGGCATCCAGCAGTGGAGAGATACAGGCTAATGAAGATGATGATAGCCGTATATTGGTAATAACCCCAAGTGATGTGACGTAGGCGTCATACGACGTTTAGTCGTGTGCGAGTAATTGCCTATTAGCTATAGCAGTATCATAGAAGAGGCGGTATTCACAACACTAATAACCACATACAAAGCACCTCCAATCGTTATTTTTAAATTCGAGATTTAATTTTCGTGTCTGATTCCGGCTCATAGCGTCGGAAAGTGATCGAGGCTTTCTCGGAGAGAGCCGAGCGCTCCCGAGTCAACCCGAAGGCAAACCCGCCTGAAGTAAACGGCAGTTTGTATTGTACAATACGTAGTGTTATCAATAATTCGAAACGATTACCCCGAAATATAGAACAAGTAAAAAAAAATCGGTTGTCACGGTGACAACGTCGTAAGAAAATACGCCTCAGAGCGAGGTAACGCCGCATGAGTCATGTTTTTTCGTGCGTGCAGACGGCTCCATCGAATTATAAGACGTTGTCACGTCAAAAACAAACTCCTAAAATTTCATACAAAAATATAATTATGTACATTAAATGTAAAAGCCCAAGTCAAAATCACTACCTGGAACCATTTGCCTTGAGGGTATTTGGAAATCATTTTCATCTTATGTGCAACTTACATATGCAACTATAATATCTTATCCTTTATATCATATTAGATGGAAACCGTCAATTTAATGAATTTATAGATAGTTTAGACTTAGATCACATATTTGTTATTGTGGGGCCTAATCACAATGCATTATTGACGGGCCGTAACCACTTAGTAACCACAACTATGAGTGTACTCAATTCAAATGACAAAAAAAAGAAAAAAAATGTAACCTAACTCAGTTAGAAAGAAGATTAAAATCTTTTTTTGTTCTAATGTCCGCAAACAAGACTTCTGTGAAATTTGTGGTTATAAAAATACATTCTGGTGTAACAGTGATGATGGTTTATATAGTACGTTAAGTAACCTGAACTTTAAAAGTGGAAGATGCAAGAGACAACAGAAAAAATCTGAAATTTATCTATTTAAATATATACCGAAAATTTACTGGGAAGCGATTTTGAAATTCCTCAATTTTCTCAAGAGCCACGGAAAATTATAGAATATCGCCACCCCGTTTTCTTCATAGAGTGCGAACTGCGAATTCTAATAAATTTTGGCAAAAGAAATTGTACGGAGCATGCGCGAGTCTGTATAGATTCTCTTCACCACGCAGGTGACTCAAGGATACAGAGTCGATACCATGAGGACAGCACGGGCGGGAATGACGTTTACGATTCTGTCACAAATAGGGGTGCAATCCTAAAAGAAACAAATGGTGTCGTAACGAAAAATCCGCGTTCATTACACGTAATTTGAAGTCGTTTTCGTAAGGGCTGTAGTCGCAGCCAGTGAGCGCACAGACGTTAAAACAAAATATATTAAAAGCTTTTATTTTATTTACAATGATTGTATACTTTAGATTAAAAGTTTTAGATTAAAAGTAAATCAAATTAGAATTGCTTTCTCATACCCTACGGAGTTGAATTTTGAGATGCTTCATTTCGATGACAATGCATTTTTATGGTAAGCATAATCTGAATTCAGGATTAGCTCCAGATGTTTATTTTTTACATTAAGTTAAGTTAAATGATGACCATAAACAATGTTAATAAACTTACATAATAGAAAAGGGGTTCATTTTATTTTTCGAAATTCCCGCGTAAAATGACAAAAATGGCTACTGCACAATATGACGTAATTCGGGGACTCAATAAAGTGCAAGTTAAGCACAGATTATACTCTAAAACGTAGCATTGCTGAGTAACATATGAAAATTTGCAAATATCAATTTTATTAACAATATAAAATTTTAAATAATTTAAACTAGCGTTTACCCAATGATTATAATCATAATTCGACCATAGTCTGACACTTCAAGACTTAGATTCAGTACATCTTTCACTTTGTAAACATTTGGAAAACAAAGTTAACTACATTCAAATTGTGATATAAATAACTCCAAATCTTGTTTAGTCAATTGTACCCGACTGGGACTGGGGAAAGGCTATTATAGTTTTTTTTTTTTAATTATCTAAACTCGATGAAGTTCACATAATTATGTTTTGCTTAAACTGCTACTTGTTTTAATATTACATTATTATCTTTAAGGGAATACAGAGATTTGGCGTATAGCCCCAGCATTGCTAGGGTTCACCAGCGACGGTAACCATTTACCATCTGATGGTCCCTATCCTCGTTTCTCCGAAAAGGCAATATAAAAATTTAATATCCGAGATATATATTCGAAAACATAGATTATTGTTTGCCTGCCTATCTCTGGCTGCATTTACTGGTGGCAGGACGTTTTCTGAGCCCCCCCGGGTAGGTACCACCACTCTGCCTATCTGCCGTGAAGCAGTAATGCGTTTCGGTTTGAAGGGCGGGGCAGCCGTTGTAACTATACTAACTACTAATACTCTAGTTAATAGTGAGACCTTAGAACTAATGTTTCAAGGTGGGTGGCGGCATTTACGTGGTAGATGTCTATGGGCTCCGGTAACCACTTAACAACAGGTGGGTCGTGAGCTCGTCCACCCAACTAAGCAGTAAATAAAAATAAAATAAAAACGAAGCAGCAATGCGTTTTGAAGAGTGGGGCAGCCGTTGTACTGTAAAAGCTGAGACTTTACAACTCATGTTTCAATAGTGTTAGTTATTGAAGTGATCGACATCTATGGGTTTCAGTGATCACTTACCATCAGTGAACTCATGCACCAATATTAGCAATTAAAAAAACCTCATACTTAACGTGACCATAAATTTATTTTGTCAAAGCGGGACATCTGCGGAATTATATAATGATAAAAAGTATTTAGTGTTTTTCAAGTATTTTCTTATAGAAGACTAGCGGCCCGCTCCGGCTCCGCTCGGGTCTTTAATAAAAATTTCAACGATATTTGACGTTGTTTTATTTTTAAAAATAAAAGAACACTTATTGCGGCATAACTTTAATAGTTAGATATATGCTGTCACGACGCTTTTTGTAAATAATAATGTGTTCTATAAAGTCGCAGTACATTATTTTATTCTATCGTCAATAGTTTTCGCAGGGCACGCGATGTAAAGAATATTTTAGGTAATTTTTTTACACCTTGGGTTACATTATTGGAGTTTTAGTAAGGATCTCTAATATTATGTCACGCGGGAATAGTGTAGCTTCCAAACAGTGAAATAATTTTTCAAATCGGTTCAGTAGTTTCAGAGCCTATTCAATACAAACAAACAAACAAATCGTTCCACTTATAATGTTAGTTTAGATAGAATAACACAAAAGAATCAAAGCACTAAACACAAAATAGTTCGTACTATGTAATAGTTTGTACCTCTTTTATTAAATTAGACCATTTAAACACTTCTAGCTCTATGTTGAATTGAAAAATAAATTTATCGGGTGATCTGTTTGCAAAAGCGGAACTATGTCCACTTCACTGGGGATAGCGGGTCAGAATGCCCGAAAGCGGGACTGTCCCGCCCAAATCGAGACGTATGGTCATATTAATCATACTGTATGATGTGCTATTACTATGTTTTTTAATTCGAACTTTAGTTATGTTAAAACCGTTCAAATAGCTGAAGAAGTTTTTTTTTTCAGGAGATTTTTTCCAGATTTTAAACTTTAAATGGCTCTTCTGTCAAGTTTCAAAAATGTCGCTTAAACCAAATAGGCTTTTATCCCTCGAAATGTTCATCTACACATACATTCGTCTTTTCAATATGAGGAAAATACGAAATTTGGTTTTATTTATATGTGGATTTTAATAAGTTTGTTATAATACGATTTTAATAAATTTTTTATTGGCCGAGCAGGCAGACTAGCATACGGCCCACCTGATTGTAAGTGCTTACCGTCGCCCATGGACTTCAGCAATGCCAGGCGCAGAGTCAAGCCGCTGCCTACCGCTTAATACTCTCCACAAGCCTCGTTTGAAGAAGGACATGTCATAGCGCTCGGGAAACACCGTGGAGGGGAGCTCATTCCAAATCCGTAGTCCATCCATTAATTAGTCATTGTCTACTTTCTGCATTGATTTTTTTATCATCACCGGGGGTTGGTCTCTCTGGCAACGAGAGAGTTAAACCATAGATAATACACATAAATTAGTTATAGATAAGCAACTCAAACACTCAACTAAAATGTTTACGGGCGTCAGCCACTAGATGGCTCGCTTCGATTAGTTTTTCATTACTCCGATAGCAGTAGCATATTACCTATCCTATATTTTATTTTTAATGAAGGATTTTAAACTAAATTTTCTATAACAAAATAAGACTTGTCTATGATTTATTAATGTTTTATTTTCTGTGTGTATAGTTATACAAAAATTAAATGCCTTAACTTTAACAACAAGATGTCGTTAGTTTTTTTCTTCTTTTTTTATTGCTTAGATTGGTGGATGAGCTCACAGCCCACCTGGTGTTAAGTGGTTACTGGAGCCCATAGATATCTACAACCTAAATGCGCCACCCATCTTCAGATAAGTTCTGAGGTCTCAAGTATAGTTACAACGGCTGCCCCACCCTTCAAACTGAAACGCATTTTTTTTTACCTACCTAAGCTGAGAGGCTAATCCAGCGGAACCTTAACTAGTAGGTGAGCTCACGGGGCTCAAACCTGACGAAGTTGCTAACACGAACCCTAGCAAGAGCCGTGCTTCGCAGAATCTGCCACCGGATCGGAAACGCGACCCACTGAGAAGATCCGGCGAGAAACTCAGTGGGCTGTGTCTGAGGGTTAATTTACTCGTCGAGCCCTTCGTCGCAAGCGACGGGTTCGACGAGAACGGTGACCGGTGCTTGAGGTACCTAAAAGTACCGTTAGTAGATCGGGAGGATCCGAGATGACGTGTTTGGGGCGACGTCGACTGCTTTCTATTCTTTCCGCAGGATCGGGAATGAAGTTACCGGTGACCACGATGAGAGGGTTCTCGTGTCGTGCCGCTTTATCGAAGTGGCGCATCGACGCCGACTGCATATACTTACTGATGGGCTCTAAGTCCAGGTCGTCATGGAGGTCGACGTTCCTGACGAACCACGGGGCTCCGACGGCTATCCTGCAAAAGCGGGATTGAATAATTTGGAATGATTTTAAGTGAGTGCGGGCCGCGTGAGCGAACACTACACTTGCATAGGTCATGACGGGGCGTATGCAAGTTTTGTAGAGTGTCACCTTATTTCTAAGGGACATTTTACTTCGCCTGTATATCATCGGGTAGCGAAACGTATTACTGCTTCACGGCAGAAATAGGCGGGGTTGTGGTGGTACCTTCCCGCGCGGACTCACTAGAGGTCCTACCACCAGTAAAGTTTCCATACAAAAAAATGTTTGTCTTAAAGTAGCGCAGTTTCAGTGCGCTGAGTTAAACATAGCACTCACGGTGCTAACCAAACAGCGCCTGTTTAGAACCGATCTATCTCAGTACAGGTAAAATGAAGTGTAAATAAATAAACACGCAATAAATACATCTATACTAATATTATAAAGAGGAAAGATTTGTTTGTTTGTTTGTTTCGAATAGGCTCCGAAACTACTGGACCGATTTGAAAAATTCTTTTTCCATTAGAAGCCGACATTGTCCCTGATGAACATAGGCTACTTTTTTTATTTTTTTTTTTGGTTTCATGTGTGTTTTAATGTTTCCGAAGCGAAGCGAGGGCGGGTCGCTAGTTTATTAATAAAACTACATATTATAAGCGTTGATTTCCGAGCGTGGTTCTGTTTGATAATTAGTCATTCTACATCAACAAAGTAACACGGTCGCTATGAAACCGACGGCTTGGGATTATTTACTGTTATATTTTATGGTAAGTGTTCATTTATTAACGTTTACTGGTGGTAGGACTCACTCATAAATCCGCGCGGGTACGTACCACCATCCTATTTCAGCCGTGAAGTAGTAATGCGTTTCGGTTTGAAGGGTGGGACAGCCGTTGTAACTATACTTGAGACCTTAGAACTTATATCTCAAGGTGGGTGGAGCATTTACGTTGTAGATGTCTATGGGCTCCAGTAACCACTTAACACCAGGTGGGCTGTGAGCTCGTCCACCGGACACCGGTGCATCGCTCAACACGAATGCACCGGACGTCTTATCCTTTAGGCCACGATGACTTCAACTAGGTGTCAAGACGTGCGTCCAGGACCGTCATTCAAAAATAGTGTAAGAAAAAATGATTTTATTGTAAAAAAGCGTGGGGTGCTTTTCAGGATATTATCAAAACAACCCTTCTACTCATATCTGTTCACAAAATATTTATAACTACTGATACCATGTACCGCATATTTCGTTAGTTTTTTAAACTATTATTTATTATTCATTTTTTAATTGGATTTAAATTTTTTCAATTTTTTTTATTTTCAATTTTTTTTAATATTGAATTGTCATCGATCTTTAATAAGTATACCAAATTTCGAGTAAATCCGACGTTTTCAAGGCGGTGAAAATCATGTTCAAAGATTCCGTTACAAACATACATACGTCTGAAGCTAATAAAAGCGCATTAAAAAAACAACACAATTACATTCGAAGATCTGCAATAAGCAACTGATGTTTCTGTTTTCAGATGAACCAGTTCCAAACTGTACTATCGAAATGTGACAACTACTACGCCATCTTGGAGAAGAATGTGGATAATGAAACATTTCACGTTTACGAGCCTGCATATGTGTGAGTATCTCTTCAGGATGTACCCATGGTGAAATGGTTTGACGTGCGCCCAGCAGCCACGAGACCGTTTTGTTACAGACTCCTCATGTTAGGTAGTGGTGCGCCACCTACCATTCAAGGTGGGTGGCGCATTTACGTTGTAGATGTCTATGGGCTCCAGTAACCACTTAACACCAGGTGGGCTGTGAGATCGTCCACCCATCTAAGCAATAAAAAAAAAGTTAAAGTGATGTTACATCCTTTTTAATAACCACTGATGCTGAGTAAGCATAGTAAGAAATCTCTTAGTAACAGTTAGCGACCGAGAGTCAGTCAGTCGTATTTAGTCACCCATCGGAAGCGGTCTTAGACAATATCTCCTTTCTGCCAATTTCCATAATTTAATTGTTTGTGTAATTGAACCAATAAAAGTGAAATCTCTCTTTCAAAATTCTTTTTTAAAAACCTAATCGGGAGACCCCGCATAACAGTTCCATACTTCAGCTCGCTGAGTTTCTCGCCGGATCTTCTAAGCGGGTCGCGATTCCGATCCGGTAGTAGATGTATTCGTTAAGTGTCTCCTTCGGAGGCGCTCGGGCAGCTGTTAACAAATCCCACCCCTCCTGACCGAGTCCGTGCACGGTCACCTGTCCTGGTGAAACTACAAAGACCTCCGGGCCACCAGTAATACTTCCTTCCTAAATAAACCATGAGATCTGGATGCTGAGACCGCTTCTTGTTCCAATTATGACAGCTCTGTTCACCACGGCCTAGTTTCGGTCAGATGCACTCATTAACGCAAGTCTATTCGACTACTGATCAGAAGATCCCTGTTTGTGACTCACATTTTTCACGTGATAGCAGCTTCATAGTGCTGTTACTACTAATTTTCTAATACGCGTTGGTGGTGGTAGTATTCCTGCCTTTCTATATAGCCCACAGTAGTATTTTGTGAAGGTTAGTCGTAGGTTGCGCCTAGAACCGGATCAGGGCGTCTTGTAAGCCCGCACGGTTATGTGCTATCATCCGCTTATTTTCTGCCGCGAACCCGTACTACAGTTAGAAGGTAAGAGACTGCAGCTAGAAAATAAAATTGAGAATCAGATCTCATGTCTCAAGGTGGAAGATGGCATTCACGTTCTGTCATGTCTATGGGCTCAGAGGACCACTTAAATTCATTTATAAGACGTAAAATTAATTGTCGCCATGGTTTTCTGTAATATCTGTCGGTAGACCGGCCGATTCACTACTCCCTTGATATTAAGACGTTGGCAGAGTCCTCTGGCATTGAAAGTGACTATCATCACTCGCTTTAAGACATCAGGCCAAAATTTAGTGGTGCTTGGTGACTGTCCTCCTTCCAAACTAAACTGCTACGCATCAGGACAGTTGTGCTTGTCTTAGATTTAGTAATAATTGTTGATTGAATTAGACAAGTTCGCAATCTTTACCATTTTGCTATTTTAATTGCCCTGTTTAGTCAGGGTCACAAGACCGCAAAGCTTCGAATGATATGACTGCATTAAAAACATTGACCATGTAAATGAAAACGTACGCGGATAATTAAATATTAATTTGTTTATATTAAAATTAACGTTGCACAAAAATAGCGGTGATTTAACGTTTGTATTTTCCTTCAGTTTCCTTGAGTGAGATCGTTTCGAGCGGTTTCGATTTTGTTTTTGAAGTTAATCGGTTTTATTTTTGAATTTATCTATTGTTGTGAAGCAGCCGTATGTTTAGATGGCAGGCTGTCTTGTCTTAATAACCTATGTTGTTGGAAAGGCCTTAAAACTACTGGAGAGGAACAGGGTGGAATCTTGCCCCCGGCTGGATACGACAGATCTATAGGCAAATAGAAGAGTAATTTCATGCTTCTCCATTTCCTTCTGCAAGAAGCTAGGCTCGCAGAAGCTCAAGATATATTAGCGAAAACGGTACGGCGCCGCTTCACACATGCGGAACAAACAACATAGCTCAAAGATGCTCCTCCATTAATAAAGGACATAATACGTAAATTATTTTCTACTAATATCATGTCTTGCTTAGAATCAAACCCTAGACCAACATTTATATGAATTAAGTTAGTGTTTCTTGCTTACCTATTTTAAAAATGAATTCTCTTCTTTCAGAGATGATGTCGATTGGGATATGATGAGCTATTCAAAGGATTGTTACATCGAAGTGGCTTGTCTAAAAACTACTCATGCATGCAATTCCCATCCCGTGAAGTCAAATGCCAGCGTTCATGAAGTCGTAGATGATGATTTTGACAAGCTAAGACAGAACATCAATAAAGCTGATAAAAATGAACCAAAGGTTGATGAGGATGAGAAACATATTAGTAAAAATAATCGAAGTGATGATAAAAACAATCAGGATGTTGAAAATACAAACAATAAACTTGATGAGCAAGAGATGAGTAATAAAACAGATAGTGTATCAAAAAATGATAAAAACAGTACAAAAGTTGATGAAACAGAGGCAAAAATTGCTAATAACACTCATAATTCTAATAATGATGTTCATCACGATAGTGAGAATAACAAGAACAGAACCGTCGACAGTCAAGAAGAACATGAATTGTATCACCCAAAAAATGATGAAGTTGGTCCAAAAGTAGATCAAAATGAGGACCAAGACAATAAAAAAGCTGATGAAACGGACCAAAAACTTACCAACAACACACAAAATTCGAATAATGAAAATAAACCTAATCAAGAAAGTAAAAACATAAATGAAACCAATCAGCTAATTGACAGTAGCACACAGAACACACAAAAATTGGATAATGAAAATAAACCTAATCAAGAAAGTAAAAACATAAATGAAACCGATCAGCTAATTGACAGTAGCACACAGAACACACAAAATTCGAATAATGAAAATAAACCTAATCAAGAAAGTAAAAACATAAATGAAACCGATCAGCTAATTGACAGTAGCACACAGAACACACAAAATTCGAATAATGAAAATAAACCTAATCAAGAAAGTAAAAACGTAAATGAAACCAATCAGCTAATTGACAGTAGTACACAGAATTACAACGTACGTGATGAGAATACAGACAACATGAACGAAATGATGAAGAGTACAACAGAACATGACCCGTTAGATAAAATGTTGGAGTGTTGTGAGTTCTTCAAGAAATTATTTGGAAACAAAACCACTGGTACAACAAATGTAATCGCAGAACATATAACGGCCGGTGAACACGAGAATGAATCGAATATACCGGTTTTCGCAATTACATTGGCATGTTTATTAGCAGTCGGTTCTATGTTGTTCGTTTTTGTCGCATGCCATAAATTAAGCGAGATGTTTCAATCTGGACGATACTGTGAGTTTTTTTTATTATAGACTAAATGAACCTGAAAATTCTAAAATATAAGGGTATATATGCCTATTAACAAAATAGTAAGAAGTTTATGAAGTAGGTCTTTTTTACTGTAGATCTGTACTAAGGCTTAACATAATCGAGGCCTACAAATTACAACTCCGATATAGAGTACAATCTGAACCAATCACCTCCTAAAAATCCCTGTGAAATCTTTAATCTAAGTTTAAGGCCCCGCGCACTAGGCAGCCTGGTTGCGCAACCAGGCTGCGGCAACCGAAATATTTGAGCAGGCAGTTATAGCAGCCAATCGACGCCCATTTAAGATCCTTTCGTCGAAAGATTGGGACCTTATCTCGTAAAAAAAAAACCAGGCCAAGAAAAGATACTGGATTCATCCTCTTTTTCTAGAACGGCATTAAAGGCTTATTCTATAACTATTTTAAAGCTGTTCGTACATACCCAGACCGGTTTTTTTAAATACAAGCAGAGATTGTACAAGCATGCTGTGTCATATAACTAACATTTGGCAAAACGAATATGCATTAGCTGCTACAGCAAGTGCGCGGGAACTGACAGCAGCCGCTCTGGCTACGCACAGCCAATTGGCTGCCGTGCAACAGGCGCGTTGTATTGGCTACCGCCGCCAAGAGTTTCGGGCTGTTTATGTGCGCGGGCTCCCATGCACGGCGGGCCCAGAGGTATACTCCCGGCCCATCTGAAAGCGATTATTCGCCGGAAGAGGGGCCTGAGGAGGCTCTGGGCGACAACTCGTTGTCCCAGGATCAAGCGCGAGCTTAATGAGCTGGAAGCGGAGTTGGCGGCGAAGATTAGCTCCTATCGGGGCTATGCGTGGGAGGAACGGATCGATGAGGCCCGTGAGGACNAAGCCCATCGTATTATGTATAAGTATATATATTTTGTCGATGCTATGCAACCGTATGCGCGCTGCGAACAGTCCTTCCCCGTCTCGTCCTGCATTTATATCACCCCTGCCCTGTGTGGTAGGGAGCCCCGTCCCGGGTAGTGGGGTTTGCCCCGAGGCCCGTTCCGTGCCCCCGAAAGGGGGTACGACGACCCTTCTTGTCTTGTCTTGCTCCCATGCAACGCCATATATTCATCTCCATATATATACCGCAGTCCGGTTGCCGCAGCCAGGCTGCCTAGTGCACGAGGAGTCTAATACCACACGGCCAAGCTTTGCTCTATCCATGGCTTATCGACTCGGTATGCCGCTGTATGCTTGCCTTCTTTTAATTAAAAATAATATTATTACGATTCCTAACTACGAGTAACATGGGTCAGCGGTGAAACTGGGCGGTTTGCGATGTCCCTTGACCGAATTGAGTGGATTTCAGATGTTCCTACACCACGAATTATAATCATGCGTTTCTTTTTATGTTTCAGATTTGTCATCGTGAGGCTAATTCCGTAATACGCTTCTGAGCCTCAATTATGCTTCGCCGTACATAACTGCTAAAACGAACCTCCTTCCGTTTCTCTGACGGTAGAATTACAGAAAACCTTTTCTTAATAACAACAACAACAACCGAACAAATCCATCAGATGAATGACTTTGGAGTTTCTAAATTACCGAAAAACCGTACTCATTCTGAAACCAGAGGCGGTAAAGTGTTGGCGCGATGCTGCCACCTCATTTGACATTGACATTTCATATCTCTAATACAAACCCTAAAGAGACGGTTTGTTCCCTTTGCTAAAACGGAACACCCCTAGGCCGAAGCAAATGGAAATCAATATTCGTTTATTAAATGATGTTATATTATATCTTTTTTTTATTTGAAGAACAAACATAATTCTGAAAATAAATATACAAAACAATGTAAATCCTACAAGTCGCAATCACTTCAATGTTTCCGATTGCTTGATACAACGTAGCTCATCTGGTCAAAATAGAAACAGACTACGGTTTTTACTTTTAAAGTAATGAACTTCTATACCACTGTACAGCCCTTACATTACCCTGATAGGGGCAACATTTCTGAAAACCCTTCCTTTTTGAATGGCTAGATAATGAAATGCAGGAACTCTCAAGATTCCAATGCATTGACGAATCAGTCATTCAGGACAAGTATACAACTGGGTAGGGCGCTAAAACATCCTTGGACCTGCGGTCTGATCTCAAAAATATGCATGTGGTTCGGCTCCCTTTTTTTGGTCAGGAGGATATCGCTGGACTTCCGCCCTCCACTGAAGGACGGGGCTTGTCGGAGCCGAACCGATTTTTTTATGATTGTAGGATTACTGGTAATCATGAGGTGTTTCTAGTTACACCAGGACAGGTGGGATTTGCTAACAGCTGCCCGAGCGCCTCCGAAGGAGACCTAACAACTCAAGAGCAGTTGCTTCGCGAATGAATCTACTACCGGATCGGAATCGCGACCCGCTGAGAAGATCCGGGGAGAAACTCAGCGGATTGTGTCTATGGGTTAATTCATTAGTCGTGCCATTCGTCACAAGCGACGGGTCCGACGAGGACAGTGACCGGTGCTTTTGGTACCTAAAAGCACCGTTAATGGATCGAGAGGATCCGTAATGACGTGTTTAGGGCGACGTCGCATAAACGCTGGAGAAGCCGTTGTACTATAGAACCGAGACTTCGAACTCATGTCTCTAGGTGGTATGTCTCCTTCGAGTGACGTTTACGATGTTAATCAAATTCTCCTTGCGTCGTGTTCCTCAGTGCCGAGGGTTTGACCTTTATGGAGCATCTTAGGTCTATGTTCCTCCATTCCCTTCTGTTCTATGCGCAGTGGTAAGAGACATTGATACTGGAGTTCAATGTCGTCTTAATTTGATCAGACCAGCGCATGGGACCACGCTCCCTATTGCTTTCCACTATTGTCGCCGATGAGTAGTTTTTCGAGATTATCACCCTTTTCCCTCGCAACGTGACTGAAAAATTTGAAAACCCTACGTAGGTAGCATTCCCAATCCTGCGGACCGAATGGTAAACAGTCGACGTCGCCCAAAACACGTCATTTCGGATCCCCCTGATCCACTAACGATGCTTTTAGGTACCTCAAGAACCAGTCATCGTTCTCGCCGAACCCGCCCCTTGTAACGAAGGGCTCGGCGAGTAAATTAACCCGCAGACACAGCCCACTGAGTTTCTCGCCGGATCTTCTTAGTTGGTCGCGTTTCCGATCAGCCGGTAGATTCTGTGAAGCATTGCTCTTGCTAGGGTTAGTGATAGCAACGTTGTCAGGTTTGAGCCCCTACCTTGAGTCACCTACTAGTTCAGTGAATCTAGAATAACTCCTCGATGTTACTAGAATAGGTAGGAAATAAAAGTTTCCTGCTAGACCGACGATGATCCGAACCGGGTGAGCTAGAAAATGTTCCTTATCACAGTTCCGGTACACATTACAATTAAAATAAAACGTTGTTGATAGTGTCACAGTTTCGAACTCAGGATGCGCTCCGCAGATACACCATTGTGATCCTGTTTTTATGTTTATAATTTTATTATTTATATTGGTTCGTTGATTTGGAGATTGTGCGTATTTTTTTTCCGACCTAAGCTGATAGCTTTGAGAGGCTATTTCAGCGTAACCTTAACTAGTAGGTGAGCTCACGGGGCTCAAACCGGAGTAATGCTAACACTGACCCTAGCAAGAGCAGTGCTTTGCAGAATCTACCACCGGATCGGAAACGCGACCCACTGAGAAGACCCGGCGAGAAACTCAGTGGGCTGTGTCTATGGGTTAATTCGCTCGTCGAGCCCTTCGTCGCAAGTAACGGGTTCGACGAGGACGGTGACCGGTGCTTGTGGTACCTAAAAGCACCGTTAATAGATCGGGAGGATCCGTAATGACGTGTTTTGGGCTGTGCATCAATTGTGAAGCTTTTAATGATGATGATGATGCAATGATTCTGGATGCTACATTTCTGGATGGATTTCGGTTTTTGGTCGTGGCACCGCATGGTTGAGAAGATGGCGAAGGACTTGCTATGTTAACGTAGTTCAAAGGTATCGCGTGAACGCTCGAGAACTGATGTGTAGAACACAGTTTCTTTAGAATTATTGCGCTAAATCACAATCGTTTGTTGGTTCGCGACAGAAAATCTCTGGCAATAGTATTCAGGTTGCTTTTGTTCTTTCTATCAAAGGCTAGCGATCATCAAACTGTAATCTAAAATCGTCGTGGCCTAAAGGATAAGACGCCCGGTGCATTCGTATCTAGCGATGCACCGGTGTTCGAATCCCGCAGGTGGGTACCAATTTTTCTAATGAAATACGCACTTAACAAATGTTCACGATTGACTTCCACGGTGAAGGAATAACATCCTCCTGTGAATGTAGGACCTCTTGTGAATCCGCATTGGTAGGTACCACCGCCCTGCTTATCTCTGCCGTGAACCAATAATGCGGTTCGGTTTGAAGGAGGGGGCAGCCGTTGTAACTATACTGAGACCTTAAAACTTATATCTCAAGGTAGGTGGCGGCATTTACATTGTAGATATCTATGGGTTCCGGTAACCATTTCACACCAGGTGGGCGGTAAGCGCGTCCACCCATCTAAGCAATAAAAAAAAATTAATAAAAATTGTTCGACCGACGGCCTATGTCAGCACTTTGCTCCTTCTAAGAAGTTCAATTCGAGAATGTCTATAGTGTTCCGTGTACATGTATCTCATTGAGTCAATTTACGCTTGCGCAAAATCAACAGGTCGAACCGAAGATCAAACTTAGTAGTTAAAAGCCCTAGTAAAAGTGTTTATATCATTGAGATAAGCTTATTTTTAAACGCGTAATGTCATATTATTGTAATTAGGCTGCATTATTCACATTACGAACATTAATAAGTACTTAGGAGATAGTACTGTCATATCGTATCGTGCGTCGCCTAACAATGGCGGTCCGCGAAAGAGACTCCTGTCTGTGATTTACAAAAAAATAAAAATAAAAACTATATTAACACTAACAAAAAAAAAGTACAAACCTTGGAATTAAAATTAGAATTTGGTGTTCGAATTTTGAAAACAAACTAATTCTAATTAAGAACAGTAATATTTGAATTTGGATCGTGTTAAACCAAAATACCGCGACATTTGATTTATTTTTCTTGTCTCCTCCAAATTTTAAATAAAACAAGATGACTTTTAGAGTTTTCATAGTTTTTTGTGGCTTCATAATCGTACTGTGTTTCGTGAATGAATCTAATGCATTGAAAGAAAACGACAGGGGAGTCTGTGTTATCAGAAAAAGGTAATTTTATTTTTTATTATGCATACAACATTTACGGCCATATGGTCCTCTAGACCTGTGCGATATAAAACATTTAAAGGGTTTGAAGTGTAGGATAAAAATGAATCTTAATGTAACTGCTTGCTTTTGGAAACTTGCATATTTTCGATACTATAGGAGTAGCTGACGAAGAGTTAATGCCTCCAAGATTTTATTAGAACACATGCTTCTTTGCCCTCCGAAATAGGCAGATTTAGGCATCTTTGTCGGCTATTTTACAGTCAATATCGGTAATGAAATACCGGTTTGTTCTAGTTCTAGATAGATATATTAAGAAAAATACGCAAGAATATTTAGCTGTGACTTCATAATGCGGTGAAAACACACAAAAAAACTAGTTTAAATAGCAAACCGATATTAAAAAAAAACTCTTTTTTAACCTGTTAATTAATACATGACAGGAAATTAGAACGAAGCTATAAAATTATTGGAACGAAGTTTTGGAACGAAGTTTTGGAACGAAGTTCCTTTTTTTTTTGAAGTGAAACTTCTTTATCGGCGTTGGAAAAAAATTTACCGTCACATTTTTCGGTTACGCGTCACATTTTTCCGTTACGCGCCATCTTTTTCTTGCCCCTACCACGGTTGGTTCAGACGAAGAGTACTTTCACTTTCTCCAACGGAGTAGGGATAGCATTAATGTTTCACTTCTTACGTGTGTACACTAGTACACGCACACATTTTTTTTTTTTAAGAGATTTTATGACCTGGTAACTGAGACCTTTAAGTCATGTCTTATTTTAATCTATATTCTTAATTTTATGAAAAATGATAGTATGGAGTGAAATGAAATGAAATGATTAGTTTGAGACATTAATCAACTGGGATGAAATTAAATGAGATGATATGAGATGAAATCTAATCTCAGTAAAATGGTGGTCATTTACTAAGATTTTTCAGTGGACTTTTTGGAGGATCCCGAGAAGTTACGTCCAGCGGCTTTGTTTCATTTTCCCACATTTGTGCACTTTCACAGATATTAAACGGTTAATAAACCACCATTATTACACATTTAAACCCGAAGAAACACTAAATAGACAAAATAAAACAAATCACACAACTTCACTCCTCGCGTTCCCGCCAAAAAGTCCCGAAGTTCCTTATGTGACGATGCGGAGGGGTACCCTAACCGGGAAAAAACGTCCGTAACGTAAGATTTTTATTAGTAATGCACACAGTGTACGACTTAACTTTGTAATAACGTACAAAAAATAACATATTTTTGGAGTTTACTCCTTTAGAATCGATTTACATATATAGGCCCGGGGTATGAAAATTATGGGGACCAAAATCGTACTAGCATGTCACACGAAATGCGTTATGCGCCTGATTGCGCATGTCACACGAAATGCGTCATCGCAGGTGACGCCGGGCTGCTGCGCCGGCAGTCCGCCACAAAGCCTCGTACTGATCGCGCGTTTCTCTCATTATTGTATTTTCATATATTTGTTAGTCGTTTGTTTTGTGTCTCGTTAATTTGTTAATAATCTGTAGTGTATCGTGTTGTCGTAATATAGAACTATTTCTCGTATTGTTTCGTTTAATTTTTTATATCCAGTAAACTCCAGTCGTGCGTCGGAGCGGACACACACACTTTTTTTTATCATTCTTTGACCACGATCTCAGAGCGTTCTTTTGCGCAATATACTAACTCTTATGCAAAAAACCGTGAATTAAGTGTACCACAATAAGTTCGCACGTTACCGAATGGCGGTGGGTTGTTGCGAAACCTCCAATATTTCTATAATAAGTAACTTCGTTCCTATCCGATGTCCCACGACACCACACATCTTTTTTTTTATTGTCATTGGTGCTCGATGCGCGTGCCAATTTCCAAGATGATCTGATGAGATGTTTTAGAGCAGATGGTTTAAATCTCATGTGAAGCTTCGGCAACGAATTGGCTGTGAGCTTAATTAAAACGTGGCCTTAAAAAATAAACATTGAACAGTTTTTTTCTTCATGTTTATCATCTCACATTTATCCGCCTACTGCTTGTAGTAGAAGTAAGCAGAATACCAAGTAATAATAATTAACTTTGATATTAAGTTTATCTTGTATCACGCTTATATCGTAAAAGGGGAAGATGTTGAGGGTATTTTGATATTTATTAATAAAAACTTGTCAACGTTACTTGGTGGTTTTAATAAATTACAGTACTTACCGATTTGAGGTCGATTGAAAATGCATTAATTAACGTACCCTTCCAGCACGACTCAAAGACGTTCGAGGACTTACACGGCCAGCAGATGGTGCGGCGGTCGACGATGCTACTTCAAAAAAACAAAGCTTATGGTCAGTATCAACACTTTAAAATATTATAATAGTGTCACATTCGTGTTAAGAAAGTAACGTGACCTGAAGTAACACGACTTGAATATCTCTACACACCTTGAGACATGAGGTCGAAGCCTCAATTCAAAGCTATCAAATCGGAATGCATGACTCAGCACTTCCTATAACCAGTAAGAAATTTCATACCTGATCCTGTAGACCGAATGGTAAACAGTCAACATCGCCCTAAACACGTTATTACAGATCCTCCTGATCCATTAACGGTGCTTTTAGGTACCTCAAGCACCGGTCACCATCCACGCCGAACCAGTCGCTTGCGACGAAGGACTCGACGAGTAAATTAACCCATAGACACTGCCCACTGAGTTTCTCGGCGGATCTTCTCAGTGGGTCGCGTTTCCGATCCGGTGGTAGATTCTGCGAAGTACTGTTCTTGCTAGGGCCAGTGTTAGCAACACTCCCGATTTGCGACCCTTGAACTCACCTACTCGCCCGGTCACGCTGACATAGCCTCTCAAGGCTATCAGTTTAGGTAGGAATAAAAAAAAAGAAATATTAAGGACGCCTAGAACAACTATGCTCATCCATATTATGCTTAAGGAATATATTTTTCTCGTATTATTCGACCTCGGGATTAACCCTCTTCCAGCGTTGCTGACTCCATCGCTGGGCAGCGGCTCAGCATTATGACCTCCATGAGTGTCCGCAACTCCATATCCTCAGTAGAGCCATATTATGTCCACTAAAGCAATAATAATATAATGATAAATAATAATTCGATATTTGGAAAATCAACTCCAAATTCTGCTAATGTTCCTCTTGTTCAAGCTTTCGTTCGCTTTGATTGACAGACATTTAAACAGTTTGACAGACGTCTTATCCTTCGACTTTGACTTCGACGACTTCAGATATCTTGCAAATTTACCCGAATAATAGCAATACGACCGTTTGTTTGTATATGAGTATAAAAACATTGAAATAATCGTAGTTTTTAAACTTTCACAGAAACCAACCATCAAATGGACCAATCAGACTGTATGCTGCTTAGATTGGATATACAACGTGAAGCGCGACTCTTGTGATCCGGTGTGTAGCGCCGGCTGTCCTACCTGCGATACCCCAGGGACTTGCTCGTGTACCATAAATCCAGAGCATCTCGGCCAATGCTTCCCAAAGACCTGCGACCGTCCATGCATCGGATCTATCTGCAAGAATAATTCCTGCGAATGTTTACCAAAGCATCAGAAGTACAATTCGACACACTGTGTCTTATGTGATGCAGGTTTCACACTCGACAGCCAAATGGTCTGCAAACCTTTGTGCGAGATAGAATGCGTTAATGCAACTTGCACGGCTCCTAATACTTGTTCCTGTCACCAAGGGTATCATAACAAGAATGGCACGTGCGAACCGGCATGTTCGAAAAAGTGCATCAACTCTGCTTGCGTGGCCCCCAACAAATGCGACTGTTTGGATGGATACATTCGGGTGAATTCGACTTACTGTCGACCTGAATGTGCGGGTTGTTCTAACGGGGTTTGCGTGGCGCCAAATAATTGTTTGTGCAAAGAGGGTTATAGCCGAGTTAGTGGTAAATGTCAGCCTGTATGTCCCACTGCTTGTCAGAATGCAACTTGCGTTTCGCCCAACAAGTGCGACTGTCTGAATGGTTACATTCCGCTAAATTCGACGCATTGCCAACCTGAATGTACAAAGTGCACTAATGGAGTTTGTGTGGCGCCAAATAATTGTTCTTGCAACGAAGGGTTTAGTCTAGTCAGTGGTGAATGTAAGCCCGTCTGCTCGAGCACGTGTAGCAATGCAACTTGCGTCGCTCCGGATACATGTGCGTGTTTAAACGGATACACTAGGATCAATTCGACACATTGCAGACCCGAATGTAGGAATTGCCACAATGGGGTTTGTGTGGCTCCAAATAATTGTTTTTGCAACGAAGGGTTTAGTAAAGTTAGTGGTGAATGCAAGCCCGTCTGCTCGAGCATGTGTAGCAACGCAACTTGCGTCGCTCCGGATACATGTGCGTGTTTGAACGGATACACTCGGATCAATTCGTCACATTGCAGACCCGAATGCAGGCATTGTCTTAATGGGGTTTGTGTGGCACCAAATAGGTGTTCTTGCAACGAAGGCTTTAGTCGAGTCAGTGATGAATGTAAGCCCGTCTGCTCGAGCATGTGTATCAACGCAACTTGCGTGGCTCCAGATAAATGTGCGTGTTTGAACGGATACACACGGATAAATTCGACACATTGCAGACCCGAATGCAGGAACTGCCTTAATGGTTTTTGTGTGGCGCCAAATAATTGTTCTTGCAACGAAGGCTTTAGTAGAGTTAGTGGTGAATGTAAGCCCGTCTGCTCGAGCACGTGTATCAACGCAACTTGCGTCGCTCCGGATACATGTACGTGTTTGAACGGATACACACGGATCAATTCCACGCATTGCAGACCCGAATGCAGGAATTGTCTTAATGGGGTTTGTGTGGCGCCAAATAATTGTTCTTGCAACGAAGGCTTTAGTCGAGTCAGTGATGAATGTAAGCCCGTCTGCTCGAGCATGTGTAGCAACGCAACTTGCGTGGCTCCAGATAAATGTGCGTGTTTGAACGGATACACACGGATAAATTCGACACATTGCAGACCCGAATGCAGGAACTGCCTTAGTGGGATTTGTGTGGCGCCAAATAAGTGTTCTTGCAACGAAGGATTTAGTCGAGTCAATGATGATTGTAAGTCTGTCTGCTCGAGCACGTGTATCAATGCAACTTGCGTGGCTCTAGATACATGTGCATGTTTGAATGGATACACTCGGATCAATTCGACACATTGCCGTCCTGAATGTACAAAGTGTACGAATGGAGTTTGTGTGGCACCGGGAAAGTGTTCCTGCAATGATGGATTTAGTCTGATTGATGGGGAATGCAGGTCAGTTTGTAGAAACTGTGAAAATGGTGTTTGCTCAAAGGGTAATGTGTGCTTGTGCAATGAGAGCTTCGAGATGCACAACGGTACCTGCAGACGAAAATGCGGACATCACGATTGTGGTCAAGAAAATACCGTCAGCGGTGATCATCTTGGAAAGAACAATACGTAAGTGTTAAATTTTATCAGCTTACAAATATTTTTGCATATATTTTTTTTTAATTCATTATTTTCATGCACTGACTATGAGAGGAAGAGAGAAAGGAAAAGTGCTCGCGCACTGCTCTCTTTTGCTCCTACAGTAATAAACAAAAGGTAACTCTCTCTCTCTTTCTGTCTTGACTAGCTTTAATCTCTCTTTAATCTAACTCTCTCTAACTTTAATCTCTCTTTCAACTTCCGTTCGCCTCACCCGATCATCACATTTTTCGTTACGCTCTCGTCCCGCATTCATCAGCTAGTCAAGGGTGTGTAAATAAGTTTCACTTCAACAAATAAATTGTTTGTAATTATCAATAAATTACGACCAACTTAAACTAAGAGAAAAGTTTGATATTGGTCTGTCTACAAACTTATTTTTTTCAGTTCTTACCTATTGCTTTTCCATTTGTTGCCTAAAATTATTGAGCCGTGTATTGAGAACCGGTAATATGTATTACAATAAAATTAATCTAAGTTAAGTTTAACAAGTACATCTCGTTCTGTCTTTTTATCGTTACTGGTGGTAGGACCTATTGTGAGTTACTGGTGGTAGGACCTATTGTGAGTCCGCGCGGGTAGGTACCACCACCCCGCCTATTTCTGCCGTGTAGCAGTAATGCGTTTCGGCTCGAAGGGTGGGGCAGCCGTTGTAACTCTACTGAGACCTGAGAACTTATATCTCAAGGTTGGTGGCGCATTAACGTTGTAAATGTCCAAGGGCTCCAGTAACCACTTAACACCAGGTGGTCTGTGAGCTCGTCCACACATCTAAGCAATTAAAAAAAAATCTCATGAGGATCATTACAGATTATGAGCTTTGTATCAAATGCTATCAAATGTATCGGTAAATGTCGACGGCACACCGGGCGCCTTACACTTTAGGCTACTATCTCCTACCACCAGTAAATGGTACTCGTGGTAAAACCTCCTGTGAGTCCGCGCGGGTAGGTACCACCACCCCGCCTATTTCTGCCGTGAAGCAGTAATGCGTTTCGGTTTGAAGGATGGGGCAGCCGTTGTAACTATACTTGAGACCATAGAACTTATATCTCAAGGTAGGTGGCGGCATTTACGCTGTAGATGTCTATGGGCTCCGGTAACCATTTAACTGCTGGCTGTGAGCTCGTCCATCTATCTAAGCGATAAAAAAAAGATTATTTTAACTATCCCTGAAGAAAGTAGGCTTCCTTTAACGTTTAACTTGATCCGTGGTTGTGCTGCTTGGAAGGCACTGCGAATTATCTTAGAACATCAATAAAACAGTGGTAACAGAGATTATGAAATATGAACTTAATTTTTTATGTCGAATTGTCAAGGAATTTACCATAAACTGGACTTGAAATATCATTTCTTTGTTTTTATGGAGCAACTTATTATTGAAGCCTTATTTAAAATTATATCAATAAGTACAGTATATATTTGTACTAGTAGTCCCCCAATAGTTGAAATTCGACTATGATTATTATAAGTTTGAACATTATTATTGGTTCTATTGTCAAACACTATTTATTAGACTTCTTTAATCATAGATTTCGCCAAAACTACACTATAAACAAATAATATTAGGGGTTAAAGTATGAAATAATCGATTTGTACTAAAAAATTGAAATTCGTTTTTTTTTTCGTTTTCCATGTGGTTCGTTCTTCAAATCAAAATTTCTATCACGAAAGCGTTTTTAAACCAAAATCGCACGGTGCGTTCATTAGCAGTCCCCTCTCCAAGCGCAACATTAATATTGCGAGCTGTTTCTGCAGTTAGTTCCGCGGCGGAACTCATTTTCAAAAATCACTCGAATTTTCGAAGTATCCATCCATCTTTATTGTCTAAGCTGAATAAAAAAAAATAACTGAAAGTCGATAATCGAATGTTGCACATTTTTTTTAAAAAGAACCTCATACTGCCTCATAGGTACCATTTGAAAAAAGGTGCACTCAAAAATTTCAAACCATGAAGGTTATATGTCAATTCGAAGTACCTATTACAATAAAGCGTCAATTTCATACTTGAACCTCCTATTATTAACAAATAATATTAACAAACAATATTAATCTATTCTCAATTTGACCACAGCCGTAAAACAATAACAAAAGTTTGACAATAAACAAAGGGTATTTACATATGTGTTGTGTCAAATACATGGTAGTGTGTGTAATGTTTTTTTGTTGTTTTAATGTATTTTTTATGCATAATTTTAAAAATATATTAACATTCTAAACTCTACTAATATTATATAGGGAAAGATTTGTTTGTTTGTTTGTATTGAATAGGCTCCGAAACTACTGAACCGATTGTAAAAATTCTTTCACTGTTTGGAAGCTACACTATTCCCGAGTGACATAAGCCATAATATTTTTCGAAAAAATTTAGGGATCCTTACTAAAACTCCAATAATGTAACCCAAGGTGTAAAAAAATTACCTAAAATATTCTTTACATCGCGTGCCCTGCGAAAAGTATTGATTATAGAATAAAATAATGTACTACGACTTTGTAGAACACATTGTTATTTACAAAAAGTGTCGCGACAGCATATGTCTAACTATTATAGTTATGCCGCAATAAGTGTTATTTTATTGAAAAAATAAAACAACGTCAAATATCGTTGTCATTTTTGTTAAGGACCCGAGCGGAGCCGGAGCGGGCCGCTTGTCTAATATATAAAATTCTCGTGTCACAATGTTCGTTCCCATACTCCTCCGAAACCGCTTGACCGATTCTCATGAAATTTTTTATGCATATTCAGTAAGCCTGAGAATCGGCTACTATCTATTTTTCATACCCCTAAGTGATTAGGGTTGTCCACCCCTAACATATTTTTTTTATTTGGACATTTTTTTTTGTTATAATGAGGTATTTATTATGTGGTTGAATGAGGTTTTGTTATTTTTATTATATATTCCCTCATCGTTCACAGCACTACATACCTCTTTCACTCATTTACCACATCCTTACACACTTACAATAAGTTAGTTTTTTTTTCTACACTAGAAATTCCCTAGAAATCTTATTTAAGGCAAAACAATGTTTGCCGGGTCAGCTAGTTCTCTATAAGTGTGGGACAATTCATACTCCTCCGTCTGCGCAATTTTCATAAAAATGGGTACAAAGTTTTTGCTTCATATATTAATTTAAAGATATACTTGTTAACGCGAAAGTGTTCTTAATAAACATAGTGTAAGGTATCTTAAAACCATTGACCTATGATCCTCATTGGTGTCTACAAGTTTCAACACCTACTGAACGCTAGGAAACTTCATGTACCTTTCTACGGCATTAAATTCGCCTTCGGTCTGAACAGACTCATTCGTATATTTTTAATGGAGATTCTTGTTTATGTTAAGGCAGATCCGTGTTTCATCGTTCAGATGAATGATTATTTTCGGTCGCGGCAATGTCAGGCCGATTTTTTTTATACATTTAAGCTATTGCATAGCTTCTATCGCGGGCTTTGAGCGCGGCGACTGAATCAAGAAATTCCGTAACGAACATAAAACCTAACAACCCCCACTCCGCCTACCATGTAGCTCTCGTTCAACACATTCACACGTTGCGCTTGTGTAGTGTTTGTGAATAAGCGCGCGGCGTGACGTCGCACTGCATGTGCATCATGACAAGTCTGCCCATCTCTCTCTCGCGCGGTATCTAGCTTATGAGTGTGAAGGGGACAGTCAATGTTTTGCTTTTGTTAATGTTTATAAATATAGCGTGGTCTTATTTTATTATTTTTTTAATATTAAATTATTATTGTCTAATTATAATTGCATAATTTGATAAAAAATGCTATGCAATAGCTTTACCGCGGCAGTCCCTGAGTGTCACACGTGTTTTGATTGTCTTTCGAGCATACAGTCCACCTGATGGTGAGTGGTTATTGTCTCTCAGAGGCACAGTCAAATCGCTGCCTAGCATTGAGTATTCTTCGAGTCACGATAACTGACCGCATGAAACATTGTATTAACATATTACGCATTATGATTCTGTAATGGGTGTTGTTATTCTCGCATTTATATTATCGTTGTAGTGTTGGAAGTCGCCGGCCGGAAGCTGATTACGCATAGGCACTAGTCAATAAGTACTTGTACTCTTGACTTGCAGATGCGTTGGTGACGTGTCGGATGTCGCCATCCGTTGCTATTGTCTTTATAACATTGTTTTAAATAACGTTCTGCATTACTCGTTGAAATTGCACAGTTATTCTGGTTTCCATACGACAGACAGACATACAACAAATTTTAGACAATGGTGATGGTTTAGGCGTCTTATGAGCCCGCACGGGTTGGTACCACCTGCCTATTTTTGCCGTGAAGCAGTAATGCTGTTTGAAAACTGAGACTCAGGGCTCATGTTTCATGATGGTTTTTTTTTATTGCTTAGATGGATGGACGAGCTCACAGCCCACTTGGTGTTAAGTGGTTACTGGAGCCCATAGACATCTACAACGTAAATGCGCCACCCACCTCGAGATATAAGTTCTAAGATCTCAGTATAGTTACAACGGCTACCCCACCCTTCGAACCGAAACGTATTACTGCTTCACGGCGGAAATAGGCGGGGTGGTGGTACCTACCCGTGCGGACTCCCAAGAGGTCCTACCACCAGTAATCCTACCACCAGTGGCGGCATTGATGTTGTTGATGTCTATGGACTCCGGCGACCACTTAACACCGAGTGGGCTTTTACCTCATCCACCCATATGAATAAAAAAATAAAAAAGAACATCGTAATACTCTGTTTTTACCTTTGTTTGTATGTGGAGCTTTCAATTCCTAAATGCTGTTAGTAGGAATGTTTGTATTCAAAAACAAAATATTTATTCCAAGCTTAAATGTCGTCAAAGCAACAAGCTACTGCTTGAATTTCAAAATCTACTAAAAACCTTGGATAACTTAAAAAATTGCCCTCCTATGACAATACTATTAGAGGCGACTTCCTCTTAAGTCAAAGTCGATGGGCCATGACGACGAGCA